ACCCTAAACCCGAAGCCTTAAAGAACCCAAGCTTTCGAACCCCAGCCCGGCCCTCGCCTTGCCGTCAAACCTCAAGGAGCAGATCTCCGTTGTCAACAGCTTGGGCAGCATGTCCTCGGTTTAGGGTTTAGGGTTTAGGGTTTAGGGTTTAGGGTTTAGGGTTTAGGGTTTAGGGAGGGGTCATGTAGGGGCCTGAATAATTAGAATAGGGTTTTTGGGGCTTCTAAATAATTAGCATAGGGTTTTGGGGCTTCTAATAGGGTTTAGGGTATAGGGTATAGGGTCTAGGGTTAGGGGCCTTAATGATTAGAATAGGGTTTTGGGGCTTCTAACAGGGTTTAGGGTATAGGGTTTAGGGTTAGGGGCCTGAATGATTAGAATAGGGTTTCGGGGCCCGTTATACTATAATTCTAATGAGGATTCCCTCAAAACAGTATAGGTAATTATTAAGGCCCCTATATTAGGGGTCGACCGTTTAGCTTCATGAGCCGTTGAAGCTTCAATTTCAACTTTTATGGCTGGGAAATGATTGAATGGAGGAAGATTGCATATGCGAGTGCCTGCAAGTGATTTCAAGAGGTTCACTCTAAGTATGCCTAAACCCTAAACTCTAAACCCTAAACAATGAAGCTCAGCTGCAAATGTGTAAATCAAGGTTGCAGGGGGGGGGGGTTGCAACTTCCTGGCCATGTTTGCCACCTTTGCCCAGAAACACCCGCGGAGTTTCACGCTTGCTGCCTGGGAAGATGGAGCTTCAGGGACCCCACCCAGGAGCCCACGAATCAGATCCCCGATTCAGAATTCCCTTCGAGGCTGGCCCCTGCTGGAAATCCCAATGCCTCCACTTCTGGAACGTGGGAGCACACTCCGGATGACTTATGATGCCAACACTCCATCCGACACAAGGCCTGTGATGATTGGCTCAGAAACTACTGCTCGCACCGGAACCCGGGGAGAATCACATCCGAGCAGCCACTCGCTTGTTAACAAGGTAGACGGATGTGCTCCGCTCTGCGCCCTTGCGACTTTCATTCAACTCAAACGATGTGTGAAATAGACTGACCTAGTAGCAAAACCGCTCTGCGAAGGGTCGTACACGACCCAGGGTCAACTCCAACAGCCAGCAGCCTATCCATCATCTTGCTCACCATTCTTGCTTACTTCAGACTTGAAAACAAACGCCAGCAGTGCGGGCCCTGCAAGCAATTCTGCAAAACAGTCTTGTTCGCAACTGATTGTAAATATGCTACTGTGTTTGGCTATGGGGTTGTAGGCGGCGTAGGGCAATCGGCTTCTTCTTCTTCTTCGACAACGACACATCGGCAGCAACTACGACTGCCACTACGACTACAACTACTAGTAAGCCTGTATTAGTAATACGACGCCGGCGACGATGACAGTAATCTGGTGTGATGATGAAGATGCAGCTTTCGAGGGCTCCGATTGTGAAACCAATTCTTGCTTTGGCCATCTACTGCCCCGTGGCAGTAGCACTTGCCATTCCTGCCGCAGTGCAGCCCATTCATCTCCCACCAACAGTCGTGTTAACATTGACAGTCCTAGGTTCGAAGGATTCTAAGCCCTAAGCCCCCAAACCCCTAATACCCTAAACACCTAAGCCTAAACCCTGTAAGCATCTCAACGTGGCCTCCCGATCCAATTCGGTCTCCGGCTTCACAAACCGGGTCACATCGGCGATGTGGACCTGCGTATAAGAGGCATGGATTCTGCAGGGTTGCGAGGGGTATAATAGTAGGATGTGGGTAGTTCTCTAAATTAGGGTCTCTTTTTAGGCTCCCAATATAGTACGGCACCCTGATAAAAAAAGGGACCCTAAAAGGGGCCCTAACTTAGAGAACTACCCATTGGAATCAAACCTTGGATTTTGGGGTTCGGCAGGCTCCTTCCCTTCATGACTGGGGCTGAGCAAGCAACGCGACCATCGCAGAAGCGAAATGCGAGAACTAGTAACTAGACGTAAACAGAAGACACACTGCTATACTCCATTGCATCGGTAGCACAAGAAGCAGTTGAAGCAGAGTTCCATGTTCGATTCTTTTTAAGTGCCGGGAATACTGAGTACAGCAGTCTGGCACAATGCACTTCAGGTCACCAAACCCATCATGAGGCACCGCGTAACACATCATGGAACAGCAGCCTGTACACAGAGCTTGTAGATATGCAAATATATACAGAAAAAGAGAATGAAAAGAGAGAGAGAGAGACAGAGAGCAAGCGCGTTTGAAGGTCTGTGGGTATGTAGATGGGATATCATGGCATGGCTCACTGCTCAGGGGTCTTGGGCTCGGATGTTGGCACAGCCTTGGGTTTAGTGTTGCAGGTCGGGCGGAGTGGGCCATGCACCTAATCCGACCGGGAAAGACTTTGAGATGCAGCCATGGATTGCTTCCCTTGTATCACTTTGCTCAGTCCCAATAGGCTGGATACTAGTCACTGCAACGGAGCCATAAGTGCCGCATGATTCGAGCGAGCATTGATGGTAAGCTAGGCTTGTAACTGTATAACCAACGCCATCGCCTGCACTCTGGCCACTTCTTCTTAAGACTTGTTGTGTCAGAATCCTTCGTGACCCCAAGACCACTGCTTCAAGCTTAGATCGGTGGCAAGCTGTCAAGAATCTCCCTTTCACAGCATTAATCAACTAAACCGAAAACAAATATTGTCATCATCATGTGTTATATTATATTATTATGACTACTATCAGGTTTCTTCTCAATGCAGTTCAGGCCAGACGACCCCAACGCGGAAGTTGCCGTTGTCCAGCTTCTCGCAGCTCAGGGCATCATCGACGTCTTCACAACCTGTAGCAAACTATCGGAAGAGTGGGTCGGGATGACGGTCAGCATTCAGCCGGTGTGTGGCAGACGAAAGCAGGCCATTGCGCCAACGAAACCAAAACGAGGTACAACTGGATGTAGGAAGCAGTTCAAACAAGTCAACACGGACCGACCAGGAACGGCTATGCACCAACACGCCTCAGGTGCGCATCAGGTCACTATGAGGTGAGCGCATAAAGGTTGGCCCGACTCATCCCAACACTCGGCCAAGAAGCCGGGAGGATCGATCGAGAATACGCACACATCTCGAAAGTCCATGCGACCTGTCAGTCAAGCTCTGCAAAGCAACGGAAAGAGGGTGAGGTGGGTTTTCTGAGGTTTCGACGAACGCCAAACTGCGCTCTGGGTATCTCCATCCCAGAAGATGACAGCACCAACAGACTGACAGAGAGAGCGAGCGAGCGAGAGCGGGAGCGAGAGCGGGAGCGGGAGGGAGGAGACTGAGAGAGCAGGAGAGAGAGTGATTCAATGCGCTGACTTCCGATGTCAAGTCTCTTCAGAGTCCGCAGGACGACAGGGAATTAGACCCCAGACGATTCTTTGGAGAAGCTCTCGCGGCCCTAGACCTACGGCCTACGGCTCTTAAAGCCCGGAAACCCCAAATCTGCTTCAAGAACGGGTAAACCAACAAGAATCCGCCCCCTCACACCGATTTGCTGCGACTTCTTGCTCGAATGTCAGCAACTGCCGAAGTTCTCTTTGCTCCAACGGTCGCAGCCTTTGAAATCCTCCTCTGACGGCGCGAAGTCTTCCGGTGGAAGGCAGCTCAGCACTTCCTGCACAAGCTTCAAGCAGCGCTAAGCCAGAGAGCGACATGAAGATCCTGCCTGAAGGCAGCCCAAACCGCCAGAATAGACCTTATTCCTGTTACTATTACTATTAGTATTACTATTACTATTACTATTACTATTACTATTACTATTACTATTACTATTACTATTACTATTACTATTACTATTACTATTACTATTACTATTAAGAGAGCCTGATAACTACCTTCATGACCCTGCTGCAAGCTGGCAATGGGTTGGGGTCCTCTGTGAAGGGCTCTTCCTTGACGTTGAACTCAAGCCTGGTCACGGCAGAGCTTTGGGTTCCACAAAGGGCCATCCAAAGATAGCAGAGGGGCCTTAATGATTAGAATAGGTTTTGGGGCCCATTATACTATAATTATTGTAAGGCACCCCCCAAAATAGCATAGGTAATTATTTAGGCCCCTACATTAACCCTCTGAAGGCGGTATGGATGGCAGGACCGCGGGACACCTGTCTTGTGAATGGCCCGCGATATGCCGAGCAGTTCTGGCGTGGGCCCACGATCCGCGATGAGGGCTCACATCGTTGCTGCAGTATATTCTAAGGGTACGAGTAGTATGAGGTTGCTATAATGAGGGTGCCAGAAAGATATTATATTCCGGGACTACGCCAGATGCAGGCACGAGGCAAGATCATCTCCGTCTCAACATCTATGTCCCCAATCTTGCCCAGACTCCGCGAGAAGCGTGCTCGAGGATATGGGCAGAACTGCCTCAATTCAAAATTACTTCGGGGCAGAAATGGGGGGCGAGGGGTGGAGGGGGGTACCGTATCTAGAAATCGATGGGCTCTCTCCCAAACTGCGGTCTGAAGCAGAGGGAGGCAATCATCGACCGTACCCTGAACCTCACACCCTAAACCCTAAACCCCTGAATCTCACACCCTAGACCCTGAACCCCTGAATCTCACACCCTAAACCCTCACTGGCCCTCACAACCTAAACCCCAAACATACCGGCACCCTAGCGCCTAAACCCTAAAACCTAAACCCCCAAACATACAAGCGCATGATGCGAGTCTGTGACTTCGGCCAGGCAGCTGCCAAGTGTTGAGTATGACGGTCACCCGCTGCTCCTGAAACTAAAAAGCTAGGGTTCAGGGTTTAGGGCTTGTAAGGTCTAGGAATCAATAATTCAGGTTCAGGGTTTAGGGCTTGTAAGGCCAGGGAATCAATAATTCAGGTTTAGGTTTAGGGATGTTTAGGGTTTAGGGTGTGTTGGGGGGGATCTCCCATGTTCATCATCCAAGAAATTCCAAGAAATCGTAAAGAGAGCCTTCATCGCTGTGCTGTGCGAATTTCAGATCCTCGAACTTCTCGGGTGTGGCTTTGACCAACATGTCCGGGAACCTGGTGTCCGCCGGGATGAAGAGACAGTCATCCTCCCGCTGCCGATGGTGCGTCGCTCTTCTTCACTAATGCTTGTATGAATCATGAACTTGTATGAAATAGCAGTGCTTCATCGGCTTTTATCCGAGGAGCTAAGATGATGTGTCCGCAGTGCGGCGTTGAACTTAGCAATTTCTGGAGAGGAGAGATACCAACTCAGATCAGATAAATGTCAAACAAAGCATTGGGCTGAGAAGTTGCTTCGGCTCCGTGGCTCATGTCTGGCTAAAGGGATCGTGAGGCTTCCACGAGTAGCTTTCGACGGCAAGCTCACTTCACCAAAGGCGTGAGCACGAGTCCGAGCTAGAGCCCTGAATGCTTCACTCAAGTTAACAGGAAGGGTTCTAATCCCAGCTCCGAAAGTATTGGACCCACTCCTCATCCTTAAGCTCAATGCCACTCGGACTGCTCAGACCCGATTTTCCCAGAGATCCCTCTCCCGTCTCCCGAAGCCTGCTCCACGCCTTTGGTCTTCCGAAGAAGCTCCCGCTTCTGAACGTGAGGGCTCGGCTTCGGAGCTTCGTGGTGATCAGGCGCACGCAGAGCGCTTAAGAAAGGCTTAGAGACTCAGAGAGGGAGGGAGAGAGAGAGAGCTCGCATCACGGAAGGTGACAAGAATTGGTCTGCGACTCGTATCCGTAAGTCTTCGACGACTTTGAGGGTGGATGTATTGTTCCAGTTGTTGAAACCTCGGGTTTACTCCTAAAGCTGCACGCGCCCGAGTGCTTCAAACCCCCCCCCCCCCCCCC